AGTACCTTTTTTTGTTGACTAAATATTATGATTGAAATTTCCATCATCATGCAAAGAAGGGTTAAAATGCGAATTTTGTTATCATTCAGAAGAAGACAAAAGAAAAATAATAATAATAATAGTAACAAAAAGAAAAATGTATAAAATATAATATAAGCTTAAATTCGAATTTTTTATAGTTCGAATCGAAAACTATCGATAAATGTGCGTTTGTTTTATCGATTGTTCGTGATTTAAAGCATAATGACAATTTATCGTAGGTAATAAAGTGGTTGATTAGGGAAAATCTCGTATTAATATGTGTCACGCATACGAAAATTAACAAGAAACGTAGAGTGAATAGTAATTACCTGGCCTGGTTCGTCGACCCTTAGCATTAAAGTTCTGCGGTCGCTTCCACGATCATTCTCTACGATAACAGTATATAGTCTTTGATCCTCTTTAATCGTACTGGTAAGTTCCAAAATCGCTACGTAACAGTCTGCGGATGCTAGTGGTTCTAAATCCAAAGCACGATAACGAGATTCTAAAACGTCTCCTGTGGATACAACGAATCACATCAATGACAAATCAAATTTATGATTAAGATCAATCATTGAAATAAACTTTTCCGAACAGGTCTGGATAAAATACACTTAATAGGAATATGTGAGATATTTCTTTTTGCAAAAATTGCAAAATTATTAATAATTCAATTATAATATAATAACATACACAAATGTATTTATATATCTTAGAATTGATTGACTCATTTGATTTTTTAGTTTGTATTTAATATCATGCGACTTATACATCATAATATCGAATGTTTTTTTTTTTGTAACACTCAGTATATCCATTTGTTTAATAATCTAAATCTTTCAATCATTGTTTTCAGTACTGTTCGGTTGCGAGAATATATCTTACGGATAAATTTATTGTTAATAAAAAGCATATTAAATTTTGAACGTAAAAAAAATAATAAAAAAGAAGAATATTGTTAAATAAAATATTTATAATATTATTTAAATGGTAGGAAAAAAATGGATATACGTAGAGATACGTGTAGCGAGTGTAAAAAGTATTCGTACAGTAGCAATGAATATGAATAAACATTATTTGTAGAATTTGATTTATTACGAGAAATATTGTAACAAAGAATCTGTACATGGATATTCTTAGAAATCTTTAAAAATTAGTTTAATAACATTTTTATTCAGGCTGAATGATTTTTTACTTTTGTTACGAGAATAATCGATATTAAAATTAAAAATATCTCTTAAAATAATTAATTTTTCGCCATAAGTTGTAAAAAATAGATAATTCCATTAAAAAAAAAAAATCAAAGTAGACTTCACGAATCCACCTACGAGAAAAAAAAAAGCAAATATCAGATAATGTGGCCCTCGTTAAATTATACAACTTTTGTCTAACAAATTTCGTTTAACCATCTCAACAGTTTCGAACATATTTAAGTGGATCGATTTAAATATGGACACCCTTTATTAATTGTAGTTCTACAAACAAAATTTGTTTTCTATAATTCACTTGCTACGCGATACCCGGTACGAATACTTTTTTTCAAATTAAACTGTAGATAAAAAAAAAAAAACACAAGAAAAGGAAAGAAAAAAAAAAGAAAGAAGAAAATAAACGAACGTACGTATCGAATATTTTTCGGAATAATATTTGAAAAGGGGATAGAAAAAAAGGTTGTCTAACCGGCGTAGAGTCTGATGCTGCCCCATTCCCATACAACAAGACGTGGTTTTGGATTTGAACAGAGTCTGATCTCTAATCTTGCCGAACTGCCTTCCGTAGCTGCTACAACCAACTTTTCCGTCATCGTTGGCTTCACCACCTATCGACAAAATCGAATCCTAAAAACGTACTTTTCAAATTCTCGATACACCGTTTGAAATTTCGATTACTTGTTAATCAAGTGGAAGGAAGGAAGGAAGGAAGGAAGGAAGGAAAGGGGGAATACGTTATTCGAATTTTTCTTCAAATATTTATATACGATAAGTTATACGTTACCCTTGTACGACATGTGAATAAAAACGATCATGTTTAAGATAATTTACGAAATAATTTATAAATATTTTGCTTCCTAAATTTTAGAATAATTATTATTACTCTGTTATTAAGATTATTATTTTTCCTATCAATATCAATTTTGTGATCAGTTTCTTCTTTTTGTATTCATTAATAAACATCTTCTCTTGGATTTTTTGGTAAGACGCGTTTGGGTATTAGAAAAATGAAAATATATATCAAATCTAAGGATAATAGAAATGGTTGGGTGGTGGTTGGGAGAGAATTGAAATAAATTCAAATGAAATATCGGTTTATATATAACGCCCTCCCCTTTCCCTCTCCCCGCAGTTTAAATGTTATCGTCGCAACTTACCGATTGGATATTAAACCAAGCGAAAATGGTTAGTAGCTTTGCTTAACCAGTGACCCGTATAAAGTTGACTGCGTGCGAATGAGAGAGAACGTGTCCGTCGTTCGAAGTTCAATTTCGAAATAAAAATTATAGAGAAATAACTATTTTAATCTTAATTTAATATTTATTTTTTTCTTCCCCAACCCCTCCCGCCCCCCACGCCCCCGCTCACTCTTTTTTTTTTTAATCTATCGTTCGAAAATCTCGATGTTATTGTTCGATTGGATAGATAATTAATTTAATTGAAACAAAATAAAAAAAGAAAAATTATCTCGTGCTAGATGAACTTTATTTTCTTTTTTTGTTAATACAAGATGTAAGACACGCGTTGATCGGTGGATTATGGGATATAATGATTTTCTAATATACTTTGAGAAAGTATATAATCATGACCGAAAATGAGAATCAATAGTTTTCCCTTAAGGTTAGGGGAATCGGTCAAATTCAAAAATTAAATTATTTCTATTCTTAGATTATTATACTCGTTCGTATAATTCTGCGTAAGGGAATATATCTTACCCTAGGTGCACCGACCACTTGCAAAAACACGGGGTCGCTTTTAACCTCCCTGACGTGTCCATTGATCTTGTTCGATGCTAGACATATGTACTGGCCTTGTTGCTCGTAAGTCACGTTCGTGAGGATCAATCTTTGCCCGGTCCCGCATTCCACTGGCATTCGATTGTCGGGAAAGATTTGAGCCCATCTAAAATCGTAAATAGGAATATATATACGTGTTAACGTGAAAGATCGAAATTGGATAATGTCAAGAATTTACACGGTTAAAGTTAACATATACCAAATGCGTCTGTGAAAGATCGAATATTTCATTTTATTCTTATATACATTAATATTTCGGATATATATCAAACGACCATGTGAATTTTGACGTTATCCAATTTCGGTCTTTCACGGTAACACACGCACACACACACACACACATATACTATATATATATACAGGTAACTCTTTTATAACACGTTAGATAGGTTCCTAGAAAATGTCGTGTTATATGAGACCCAAAGTTCATTATTCCTTCGTGTCATTATTTTAAGAGATAATTTAATTTTAAAATAAGTTAAGCAACCATTGTGTTATAGAATGCTGTAAAAATGCAAAGGTGTATCAAGATTTTCGCATATTTTTTGAATCATGTTAGATCGAAACCGTGTTATAGTATGCCATGTTATAATAGAATTCTTTCAATTTATGAATCGTTTTATAGGATTCCATATTACAATAGAAATTACAGGAGGAATTCTGTCCTCTTACATCTATTAACTTCTAGAGTTATCTGTATATATGAAATATCGATTTAATCAATACCAGCTTAACTTTCCGTTCATTTTATTTTTGAAGTTATACTTCTTTCAGCGCGTTTGAGAAAGTGAATTTAGATTCGACCAAAAAATCGACACCACGAAGTTGTCGATATTTAAAATGCGCGGGCAAACCAATTTCAAATTTACTGCATGAAGTAATTCGTAAATAAATAAATTAGATTGTATATATTAATTAAAATGTAAATGTGAGAATTTGGTCAAACAAAACAGAAATTAAAAAAAAGATTAGACCAACACAAAAATGATTGTAAACCTCTAAATATGAACAAAACCAATACCACAGCGTTAGCTGAACACCATTTTAAAACAGGACATACTTTTAAATTTGRYGCAGCAACTAYCCTAGATTTAGAGGAAAACTGGTAYAAAAGAAATATTAGCGAAACATATCACATATGTAATAATAATACGGTAAATTATAGAACAGACACAAACAACTTAAATCACATCTATAACGGAATATTTAAATTTTAAACATAATAAATAATAAAGGACACCTTACACTGATGATATCTAGGCTAACAAACACTAGTCTAGATTGAAACAGTTTTGTTGAGGCTTTTAAATAATAACGACCAAACTAACGAAGTTTTAGATGTATTGTGTTTTAGAATATTATAAAAAGAAATGTATGTTGAAATTAAATAAAAAAGACGCTGAACTTTGATGATTAAGGTAATATGTAATAAATTATATTGTATAAAACGCATGTATCGTAATGAGAAATGTAAGAAAATAAATTTTCCAGTTGCTGAAGAAGTCCCAATAAAGGGACGAAACGTCCAACTTAATCAAATTAAGTTCTACTTCTTTTCATGTCCAAGTTCCCTGTGATATTTTATCATTAAAAATTAATTAAAACCTTTATCAATGGTATATAATATCTTCACTTTATTTTATCATATTATCGTTTTTTCGACAAATGTAGAGTATTATATTAGTACGCGAGATAATTGAAGTTATTGAGGTTAGGTTCGTTTTGGTACGCTAAAGAAGAAGTATAACTTCTTACGTGCGTACATAAATACACACGCCAGTTTTTTATTTATTTTATATTTATTCTCATCATTTCAAAGGGAACATTTAGAAGAATTTAATGCAAGGATAAACGAATCAGTTATTTTCTCACCTGTATTCAGCCGGTGGCATTGCGTCGGCGTGACACTCGAACGATGCACCGGAGTAAAGCAGGGCCGTAGTCAACAATTCTGGTCCGACCGAGCTGATCGTTGGCGGATCTGCATCCAAAGTGATCGATCCTTTGATATCTTATTCATGAGAAACCGAGGAAACGAACGTACCGCACCCTCTCGAGCGTGTACCGTGCGTTGCCACAGCAAAGCGGTTTACACCGTTTGCTTCGGAGTTAGCGTTTGCGTTTCCGTTTGACCACTGGGAACGATCGGAGCTGGGAGGTGGGAGGTTGATGTATGAGGGGCTGGGAGATGAAGAGTAAAAAGAAATTTTCAAAGTTCACGTAACATAACGGGACTCCATTAAGTATTATTTCTCGGTCAGATATAAATGATTTAAAACGGGTTATAAATTTGTAGAAAATATAAGAAAAATGTAACGGAGGGATGGGGGTAAGAAAAACAACCGCGAAGAAAGGGGATTATGATGGGAAGGTGGGTAATTCAGTTGGTTCTACTTCTCGTTTATAAAGCACAATAAGCTCTTTCCTTTATGTAAGAAAATGGCCAACATTATTTACTTTCGAAGGTTATAAGCGTGCCTGCGAACCACTCAAGAAGGAGCATCTTCCTCACGAGGAGTCGAGAAAGATGGTGCGTTATCGCGTAAAAGCGAAGCTGGGAACGAACATAAGCGACGGGATTTGTATGTGTATGTGTGTGTATATATGTACGAGTACAGTATTGTTGATTAAGCTTTGCCATTAATAACGGACCCGAAGAAGTACGCTCGGGATCGATGAGCCTAGTCGTTTCTCATTTTTCATTGTTTTTCTTTTTTTTTTTTTTTTTTTTTTTTTTTTGAACACTCAGTTCTATGTACTTTTATTCGAGGGCTGGGGGCCTGGAGGGGGGCGGGTGGGAATAAAGACCAAAAAAAAAAAGATATCGGAATTACGTGCTCACAATTTACGGACACTTGCACCATGACCGGACTACTTTCCCCCTCGGTGTTGGTTGCCTCGCAGATGTATTCAGCCGCGTGATTTCTGTAAACTGGCGAGAACAATAATGTTTCCCCTATGCTTGCTATATCGGTGACACCGAGTGTCTTCGTGCGCCTCCAAATTATCGATGCTGGTGGATTAGCATCGGCCAAACACCTTATTTCCAATTTATCTCGTCCTTCTTCCAATTGACCACGCGGTACACCCACAACTCTTGTTTCCGGTGCATCTGAAACGAAACGTACCAAATTTCATTACTTTAAGAGTATACTATTACGTATATCTTTATTACCCCGTTTTTATTTTACATTACATTACATTACATTACAATCATAAACGAGAAAGGAAACTAAATTATAAGAATGGGTGGGTGGGAGGGGAGGGGGAGGGCGTAGAAAAGTGTATAATTAATCAAGCACGAACCGTGTTTCTTGTTCTACGAAGCGTGGTGCAACACAGTACGGTTGTTACTTACGGTAGAATTATTTTTTATTAACCAAATGGTTAACAACCAGCAACCCCCTCTCACCATCCCTAGCCCAACCCCTCGAGGAAGAAAATCGTAAAAGTTTTGCATACGCTTACGCAACCGGTTTTATTGAATTAATTATATCCCATTAAAATAATCGCAACGGATATTTAGCGAACGGTATTTCGCTAATATTGATATTGTTAATTCGAGATCGTGTACCATCATCCCGTTTATTATTTCACCGTTATAATTCGAAATAATCATTAACAATGGGGGAGGGGGAGTGGGTGGGTGGCTGGCTGTGGGTAGGGGAAATTATTTTAGATAGATCACGTAATTCGTTTAAACATGTGAGATATTTTATCGAATCGTAATACATATTTTGATATTATCTTTATCAAAGATAATGACAATATAGATGATACATAGTTTTAACTTAACTATTATGCTCGTATAATAAATAGGATAGGAAATGTAATGTTTCATAAGATGGATAGCAGATAAATTAAGGAAGAAAAAGTGTGAGAGAGGAGAATGGTGTGAGGGGGAGGTTGAGTTGAGTTCAGTTGAGTGGGGTGAGTTTGGGTTGGAAGGTTAGTAGCGTGTTAGTTATTTTTAATGATGAATTTAATAACAATGGTTCTTTTTTAGTTATTATTATTATTATTATTATTATCATCGAAAAGAAAATAATTTTGTAAAGGAATAATATTCCGAACGATATTCCCGTTTAACGATTTCTTCAATAGATAGAGATATTAATTAATACGAAGAGACAGGAACGAACGAACGAACGAACGAACGAGCATTGAAGGTTTTCCTTTCTACTTTAGTCAACCTAGTATTCCAGAATACTAGGATAGATACTTTAATGGATACAAAGCCGATATAGAACGAGATCGGTCTCTATTATTCGCAGTAACAATTACGATTTCCTAGTAGCGGTCAGGCGTACAAGCTAACGAAACTTTTGACCGAGTTTTGAAGTAACCTCACCGTCCTAGATTACACACTACGACGAATTCATCAGATTTTAGACCTCAAATCTGAAATAAAAGATTACCCCCCCCCCCCCGTCACCCTCACTCCTTTTTTGTTTCTTGTTTTACCTTTAAAATTCGTCTAATTGTAAGTAAGTTTGAAAACTAGACAATTAATATTATGATATTGTTAACATCTAGATTTACGAATGTCTCGTTTCATTATTTTTTTTAATGATTTACAAACATTGTTTGAATGAAGGGTTCAGCAGTAGGAAAGGAATTATTAATATTCACGTATATTTTACGTTACGACATTAAAAAATCAACGCATATATATTTTTAAATAAATAATATTTAAGTTTTATAAACAAAAGGTGAAATAAAAATGGTAGTGGAATGGTGGTGGGGGTGGAAGAGATCGAGGAGAAAATAAAAAAACGTAAAGATACAAAAATCGAATCACGATTTTCGTTTGGATGCGCATACCTACCACGCAGCTGTTCATTTCACGTAACAATGATTTCGAAATACGCGCGAACGGTCACCCGCTGACCCATTCACAATTTCTGCTGCATTCTCCCACCCCCAACCTCTCTCACCCTTTCTTTCTCTCTCTCTCTTTCTCTCTATTATCGTAGTCATGGTTCATAAACGTATTCTCGTATATTGGTTACCGTGCGTTCGTTCGAGAGTTAGGGTACGCGTCAAATGCGTATTACTAATTTCCTTTGACCCAAATTTATGCCTTCTCTTGAAATAAGATACATTTTTTTTGTAACCGTTTATAATTATTCATTATTTCGTAAAATTGCATTTTACTTGATAGATTAAAATTAAACGAAAAAAACAAAATACAAAACAAAACAGAGGAAATAAAGATAAATCCGAATTGCATACAAAATGTATTTGTACATTATGTAAATGCAAAAAAAAAGAAAGAAAAGGGGTAAAAATAATAAAAATTAATATATATGAGTTTCAAAGGGAAAATTGAAGACAGTTAATAAATTTTGATGAACAAATTTATTTGATCTTGTTGAACGTTTYGTCCCTTACTGGGGACTTCCTCAGCAACTCGATCAAAAAAAATTTTCCCTTTGAAACTCATATATATTAATATACTGTTGGGACAAGAATATTGATTATTAATTTTATAAAAATTAATTTGCTTTATTTTCGAAGCAAAAGGTTAATAAACGGGGGAAAGGAAAAATTCATTTCAAAACCCGTTTGCGTTATTTCACAACATTGTTTCGTTAACGAAGCTATCGATCGAATTTTGAACAAATCTTTTATTCAATCGCAATGTTACTCCTACGTGAAATCACGGAAAACTAAATTGCTATATTACCATATCGGCTCGATTCGAAAGTTTACTAAAGAACTCTACTGCGAAATAGAAAAAAAAAAAACAGGAGGTGTGAAAAGTTGTTGTTCAAAGTTTTTCATTTCAGCTGCGTACTTCAAAACTGCACTCTCAGCAACATATGTCAAGGGTTTTTCTTTTGTGCTGACCAGGGACAGGAAAAGATGATGATAAGCCATTCCAGTGATTTTTCCCTTAACCGGAGCTTTCCAAAAGTGGAACTTTTAGAATCGTTTGTTTTTCTTTCTTTTTTTTTTTGTTAGCTTTTAAATCAAAACTACGACAAATATTTTCTTTTACTTTTACTTATTCTTATTATTCCTTTCGTAAAATTGATGAGCATTCAGTTGTTTTTATTTCAAACAACGGTACAAAATCTTTCCGTTTCGTTCGGCGTATAAGAAAAATCCACATCGAATAAATTCACGGATACGCGTTAGTAGTAGTAGTAGTAGGTTGAAGGTAACGTCGAAGACGTTATTTAAATGAAAACGAATAAATGAATAATCGATCGTTTCCTTTAACTATGTAGAAAAGCGAATAAAATTTATCCCGATACTATCTGTCTCCTTTCCCTTCCTTTCCTTTCCCTTCCTTTTCTCTACACTACGCTATACTCCTCAACCCCCTTTTTTTCCACGTTGAATTTCAATTCCGATTTCCACATTGATTAATCAAACGAATACCAGTTACGATATTTCTAAAGACGCGTAAAAGTTTATCTGATATTCTCGATGAGCTTAAATATCAAAGGAATAATATGAAACATTAAATGGCCCCTCGAATCATCCCCCCGCCCCATTTACGGGGAGAAAGAGTTTAAAATAAGAAGAAAAAGAAAAAGAAGAAGAAGAAGAAATAATAAGACAAAACAAAAAAAGAAACCGAAAAAAAAGAAACGCGGTTTGAAATCATATTGGGAATTTAAATCGGAGAAACGTCACATTCCCTTTTGTTAACTTGTTCTTCCACCAATGAGATCCGAAGATTCCCCTTGCCACCCCCCACCCACCCACCTTTTTTTTGCCGGATTAATCGCAGTTCACGGTATTATTGCTTTTTCTCTCGATAGGAGAAAAGCGCCCATCATTTTTACGGTTATTCGTTTCGTGTATACTATTATTGGAATACGTACATATGTTGTATATACATATATATATGAATATTATATATATATATGTGTTGTAAGTTAGTCATCTATACAGTTACGGTGTAAAGTCGTTTGAAACCATCGACAAAGAACGACTAGCCGGAATACGCGCGAACGAACACCCGTTGACCCATTCGAATCGGTTGCATCCTTTCCCGTTCCTTTTCTCTCGCGTTTTTAACCTTTTTTTTTTTTTTACCTTTTTCCTCCCCATCTCCCTTCCACCCCTCGCCCTCTCGTTTTCCCTCCAACTCTGACACCCGCTCGGTGAGCAGCTGAAATGACTTTGTGGGTGACGAGAGATGTGACACATACATATTAACACCCACACACACACACACATACACACGTATACGGAAAGAGTCGGAGAGATTCACGCGCGCGTACGCGCACACCCACACACACACACACACACACACCCGTTTGTTGAATTCTCGATCGAAGTACCATCGGCACGGAATATATCTGTGCTTTGAGGCAAACTTTTCAATTTGCTCGGAAAAGTCCCACTCGGCTAATGCTCGTAATCAATATACCAACGTATCTGGCCTTCCAATCCCTACCCCTTCCTCCCCCACACCGACCCTTCACACGTAACTATACATTTTACCTAACTATATATATATATAGTGTATACTCTCTCTCTCTAGGTCGAAATAAAAGTGCGAGTTTTATATGCGTTAGCTCGAGAATTATTCACGTGTCCAGTTCCTGTCGAAACTTTTGATTTGACTTTTTTCTTTTTTTTTCTCTTTTTATATTTTTTTTCTTTCCTCCGGTGTGGTGTGTGTCTTTTTTGACCCCTCCCCCATCCCCATTTGTTTCTTTTTCTTTTTTTATCTACAGCCGCATAGAGAAATATGTCGAATAGCGAAATGGTGGGAGGAGGAGGAGGAGGAGAAGGTAGGAGGCAGTGGGGAGGATTGCATTCACGCGATTGATAGACTGCGAAAGGGATGAAATTAAACGAACCGCCTGGCTTAATCTTTTTCGTTCCCATGCGAAGTAATCAGAGATCGCTTAATTTCTTTTTTTTCTTTTTTTTTTTTGGCTGTTTTTTTCTTCTTTTTTTTTTATTATTATTACAAAAGAAAACGGTTCGAATTCGGTTCGAAGTTAGAGAAATTTGTGAACGGGGTAGAGGTCGTCCTCGTCCTCGTCCTCGTCGTCGTCGTCTAAAACGAATTAATAGCGGCTCGATTGTTCGACTTTTCGCATTGGAATCAATTCCGACCGATTAGTCGGCGAGAAAAAGAGAACAACCTTCTTCCCTCCTCCTCCCCCCCCCCGACCCCTGGCCCCTGCTCCTGCCCCTGTAGCCCCTCCGATTCCGATGACGCGGCTGAAATTCGCGTGCTATGCGCCGCGTACTTTTATGAGAGAGAGAATAGAAAGGGGTGGGGGGCGATGGGATGGGATGGGATGGGTGGTAGGTTGAAAAATAGGGGAACCAAAAAAAAGTAAAAAGGAAGAAACGAAACGAAACGAAAAGGAAAAGGAAAAGGAAAAGAAGAGAGAATATTTTTGTCGTTGCGCGTGGCACCAGAATTTCAAGCTCCATTATATGTATTATAATACCAATAAGAGAGAAAAAACACGAGAGAGAGAGAGAGAGAGAGAGAGAGAGAGAGAGAGAGAGAGAGAGAGAGAGAGTATGAAAGAAAGAGGAAAAAGAGAGTAAGAGAAACAGAGGAGCAAGAAAACTTGACTCGTTCGTGTCGTACCGACGATGAGAGAGAGAGAGAAAGAGAGAGAGAAAGAGAGAGAGAGAGAGAGAGAGAGAAAAAACGAAGCTCTCTACTGGCAGCATTACTTTTTCTTCCTTTTCCTTCTTCTTGTTCTTTCTTTTTTTTTTTTTCTTATTCCTCCGTTATGAATTCTCTACGGTTAACCTCGGTCGTATGGGAAAGAAAAAAAGAAAAAATAAAAAGAAAAATTGAAAAAAAAAAAGAAAAGGGCCGGAGAAAAAGAGGGAACAGATAAAAAGGGCGAACTTAATTTCGCGGCGCTGACCGAACTTTCCCCTACCACCATAACCACCACCAGCACCACCACTCCCTTCAACCAACCAACCAACCAACCAACTGGGTGGTGCACGTTATTTCTAAGTAAGATTTCAGCGCATTTAAAACAAACGCAGCCAAGCAAGAGTGCGCGTACGGATTACTAAAAAATCCCTACGCGAAAAATGAATATTCCTTTGACTACTGGGTTTTATGGTCTAGGGTTAGATTTTCTTCCGAATTGAATTTCGCGAATCTGCTTGAGAGAATTATTACAGCCTTTTCGAGGAATCCTTTTTTTTACGTGGATATACCGACGAATTTCTTTTTTTTTTTTTTCATTTTTTTTTTCTCTACGTTCATTCGCAATCATTTTTTTTTCATTTTTGGAAGTTATACTTCTTTTGGCGCATTTTTGGAAAGTGAAGTTAGATGCGATCGAAAAATCGACACCACGAAGTTATTCGATATTTACGATGCGCGCGCAAATTGAAGTTATATTTGAGGTTATGGAGGTTATATTCGTTTTGGTACGCTAAAGAAGTATAACTTATTACGTGCGTATATAATTAAACATACCAGTTTTTTTTTTGTTTCGTTTGAGCGAAAGAAAAGATAGAAAATGCAAAATAATAAAACGTTTCTTCCTCTCTCTCTTTCTCTCTCTCTCTCTCTCGTCTGTCGCGCGGAAAAAATTGCATTCCATTTACGTATTGTATTTTTTTTCTTTTTATTCGTTTTATTTTTTAAAACGTAATCTTCTTTATTATCGCGTCGCTGATATTCAAAGAGAGAGAGAGAGAGAGAGAGAGAGAGAGAAAGAGAGAATGAGAGAATTGACATTTTATGAACCCCAATGCAACAAAGACCACTCGATAACGAGAAATAACGAAAGTGGGCGGTGACAAATATTCATCGTATCGACGTAAATTCGATTTCTCTTTTGTTTTTTACCGGAATATACACATTGACGCGTATATTTAACACTCCTCGTCATATATACAACGACGAATCTAAAGATTAATTATATTCTCGATGACGATAACACGATTATTATTCTTCTATTTTCCCCCTCTCGCGTGATATTTGAAAAAGAAGTCGAGGAAAATTCTAGTTCGGAAAATATAAAGAAGAAGAAAGAGAAGAAAAAAAGAAAAAAACAAAAAAACAAGGTATGTCGGGTTAATCCGACGACGATCTCTCTCGTTTTCTTCTTTCGTTTTCTTTCGTTTAACGAGATTAACCCGTTTTCGCTTTATCCATTTACCAACGAATCCAAGCATTGTGTCCTCGTATACGTTTTCCCGTGACACACATACACACACACACACACACACACACATCAGCCCCCCGCTCCCTTGTCCCCCCCCCAGTAACTCTTCTGATTTCCCTTTCCCCGTCATGGCAAACCCTGTTGATGTGATTTACGATTATACTGAAATTTACATCCATTCCTTGGAGACGTAAAGCAACAGGGCCCACGTTTTACGCTTCAGCGATTGTGAAATCTGACTGCTCTGCTCCACTCTGGCTGACGTTAATGCATTTGGGGCCATTTCGAACGTTACAACGTGGATCAACAACGTTAATGCGAAGAGAATTGTTGGCCCACCTTATACGAGCAATTCGATAAACAAACAAGAAAAAGAAAGAGACAATCATCAGACCCATTTCGCTAGACGTTTATTTTAAATTAACCCCCTTTAGTGTTATTACTGTAATTGCATTTATTGTAGTAAGAATCCATTCGTTATCTTTATTTTAACGAGTCATAATTAACGAGATTATGGTAAACGATATAACAGGTTGGATCTAATTATTGTTGGAAAAAGTTATTCGGAATATAATTTAGTTTTAGTTTAAAACTAATTTTACGTTCGAACACGTTTATCAACGATACTTACATAACTTTTACACTAAATTTTACAATCATTTTTTACGTTCTAGTAAAAGATATTTCTGTGACGCGAGTTAATTAATAACTTCTTGTAGGAGGTTTTTTTTTACACTGAAATATATAAACAATAAATAATATACAATATACAAAATCAAAATGTCATATATACTTTTTCTTCATTTATATTTGCTATTAAATATTACATCGTTCGATTATAAGTTCGTTTGAATTTGGGCCTAATGAGAAACTTCAATTCGTTTTAATTCGAATTCTATAAATACAATGAAATCTTCATTTGTTTATTATCGATATAAGACAACAATTACTTTCCTTATCTAATATATTATAATCAAATAAATAATTTATATTAATACATACATATATATTTTTTTCAATATAAAAATAATGATTTAAAGTATACCCACATGTGAACATTTGACATAGAAATAAACAAAAATTAATTTCCTAACGATTTAATATAATCAAATATAAATAATTTATTAATAAATACATATATATTTTTTTCAATATAAAAATAATGATTTAAAGTATACTCACATGTGAACATTTGACACATAGAAATAAACAAAAATTAATTTCCTAACGATTTAATATAATCAAATATAAATAATTTATTAATACATACATATATATTTTTTTCTATATAAAAATAATGATTTAAAGTATACTCACATGTGAACATTTGACACATAGAAATAAACAAAAAATAATTTCCTAACGATTTAATATAATCAAATATAAATAATTTCTTAATATACATCTAAATAAAAATAATGATTTAAAATATACTCACATTTGACATCAAACCTCACTTCGGTGTTTGATGACATGGTGGGATTGGCATAAGCAGGATGAATGGCGACACATCGGATGGCCGCACCATAACGTGACCTCTCTGCCAAAATCTCGCAAACACTGTAGGTCTCCCAAGTACGAGGATTATCTAGTTCAGTCGAGTTTACCTGAGGCCTAAGCGTCCTGATCTCCGTTTCTCCGACGTACCTGCGCGCATTTTCCACAAACCCCCCCAAAATTTGCATTTCCAATGACGTTCTGTAACAACACTGAGGGAGAGTGCGATCCCACCACCATCTCTCTTTCTCTCTCTTTGTCTCTGTTTCTCTCTTTCCCTTTCTTTTTTCCTCTCTCTCTCTCTCTCTCTCTATATATATATATATATATATATATATATAT